CCAGGAGGGAGCGAGTATGAAAAGTGTGAGAAAGGGGAGAAGCATGCAGCCTGAAGGTATGCTTAAAACTGTAACTCAGTTTCTATGTTCAAAAAAAATACAAAGGAAGGAAGGATGCAAGAGCAAGGCAAAGACAAGAGGAGGTAGACAGAATGAAAGAGAAGGGGGTGGGGAAGAGGAGGGAGAGTGAGAGGGAGGGAGGGAGGGAAAGAAGGGAAGGAAAAACAGAAAGAGAATATTTCTTCAGAGCTCAGGGCTAAATATCCCTCCAAAAGCAGGCCAGATAAGCACATGCCTGACTTCATGAAAAATAAAACAAAAGCTAGGCACACTGTTTTTTCCTGTCTTCCAGCTGCCTGACAGAAGAGATCGCCCACAAATTGGTTTGGTGCTGTTGGGCACGAGCTTCAGAGCAGAAAGGCTTCTGGGCATGTAAACACACACACACACACACACACACACACACACACACACACACACACACGTGCGCCGCATCCCCCCTCAAGGCAGACTGCATGCACAATTCAGATATCGAGTCTAATTGTAATTGGAGGAACAGGGAAAAGCTTCCAAATTAGCACATATTAGACATCCTCCCAGTTAATGAAGCCATCACCCATGTCAACTTCAGTGGCGTTAGTTAGTTTCTAAGAAAAGCACTTAGCAAGTGATTGCCTCTCAGCCCTCATGAGTGCCTTTCCTCCGCACTCCTCTGTAAACAAATACAATGGGAAATAAGACTACGCTAAATATTTTCCTCCCAGGTTGTTTTGTTTTTTTTTTTTTTAAATTCTAAGGTTTTGAAGACAGTAAAGTTGCCTTCTGTTGCCTGAGATTTGAGCCCATGTAGTGCTCGGAAAGAACGAACGAACACAGGTGCTTTGGTCCCCCTTCTGGTTGCTGGAGCCATTTCAGCTGAAAGGCACTCTTACATAACCATACGTGCACAGCTTCATCAAAGCACCAGCCACAGGTGATTGGCTATCACCTAGCCTCACGTCTGCTCCAGAGAACACCCTGGGACAAGGATAGAACTAAATTCAGCCTCTGACGCATCCTGTCCCAGCTCCTCTGTTGGACAAGTAAGGAATCTGAGTTCCTAAACAGCCAAGGTTTCCATGAAGGTCACCTAACTATCCAGGAGTGAGTGGGGGACAAAATCAGGACCATAGATCTGACTACCAGCTAGCATTCTGCACTTACATGTCCAAGAGCCTGGTCCCTGGCCACTGGGAACCATCCTCCCGACCAGTAGGACTTACGACAGTGATGAGACAGAATTTACAGGCAGCACTGAAAGTTAGAATTCAGCTTGCAATCCCGAGGCCACCCTAGTTTCTCCTCCCCTGATCTGTGAGCGCGCCTGACGTCTCAAAGACAGTCATTCTCCATCAGAGACAGACCACGGCCTCTGCCGCTTGTGCTACCTCCCGGCTGCACAGTCTGTGCATAATGAACAAGCACATCTTTAATCAATAGTTAAATAAGTGTCAGAACAGCAGCAGATCCAGGGCGGCCAAGATGCTCCAGAGGTCGAGAACGGGAAAAAAGAATTACCTGATTCTGCGAAATGAAAAACCTAGGAAGGACAGTTACCTCCATGTGAAGAATGACAGAGGACTGGGTTCTAGGCTAACACCCACTGTTCTGGATCCCAGTCATTCAGGAATCCTGTACTCTTTTACTCCTTGGGATATCATGCGTCTTAATCAGAAGCTCGGCACGCATCCCATTGGTTCTCTCAAGGACAGGCACATGTGAAATCCCATTGGAGAAGTTTAATCAGCCCTGATGCAGTCACAATATGAACCCAAATTAATTCAACCTTTTTTTTTTTTTTTTTTTTTTTTTTTGGTTTGGTTTTTCGAGACAGGGTTTCTCTGTGTAGTTTTGGTGCCTGTCCTGGAGCTCACTCTGTAGACCAGGCTGGCCTCAAACTCACAGAGATCTGCCTGGTTCTGCCTCCTGAGTGCTGGGATTAAAGGCATGTGCCACCACCACTGCCTGACTTTTAGAACGTTGTCAGCATCTTTTAAGATGGCCTAGGTTCCAGTTGCTCTGTGGCCTTCACAGGGGAATCCAAATCCTAAAAGCTTGAAGTTCTTCTAAAAATATCCTTCTCTTCCTAAGAACTCTTATCCCACTGGCTCTTTATTTCTATACTAAACAGAAATAAAAACAGAACCTCAGACTCCAAGAAGGATTAAAGAACTTCATAGTTCAAAAAGCCCATTTTTTGTGGTACTTTGACAAAGTAGCAAATTGGTGCCAGCTGTGACCCGTTATTGGGAGTCCCATCTTAGGGAAGTGTTATAGCATTCTGGGAATCCCTTCTGTGACAGGAGGTCCAATCAGCTGCAGATCCAAGAGTCACCAAACCAAGCAGATAAAACTGAATCTCTAGGTCTCTCATAGACTTAATGTTAATGATGTTAATAATACAAAATCCACTGTCAAGGTATTCGTTTTGCATTTAATAAATAAATATATTATAAATATGTAAAAAAAAAAACCACAGTATTATTACATCACATCCTGAGTTGAGTCCAGAGTTCTGTATGTGTTTCCTGTCTGCAGGCGGTAGCAAGCCAGCAGACATCTCTAACCCCGTTTTAGAATGAGGAAACGGCCTCAGGGACTTGAACTGAGTGAATCAGTGTAAGGCTGAAATAGAAACCAAACTTTAGGATGACCTTGAATCAAATCCAGCCAGAAGATATAAAGCGGTAGCGACACTTGTTCCGCAGAATGTGACTCCCAGAAAATAATCGATAGCCTGGTTTTTAGAAAGGCATTACCATCTAATTCTAAATATCATATAGATGCCACTACCTTGGCAAATTCACTATGTAAACTTGCTATTGGGAGATGGTTGTATGTTACATATGCTGTATATACCCACACTGAATTATTTTCCTGCCTAAGTATATCCCATGGAATTCCAAAGTCACAATTTTTTTGTAGTATGCACTTATTCTTAGATATTTCAGCTTATTTTAAAATCTATTCGAAAGTATTTGTTCAGCTGGAGAGACAAAGTTTCAGTTGGCAAAGTGCTTGAGGTACCACCAAGAGGATCTGGACTTGGATCCCAGCATCCACACAAAAAGATAAGTGTGATGGTATGCTCCCGGGAAAACAGAGACTGGGAGGTTCCTGGATCTCACTGGCCAGCTAATCTTGCCTAACTGGTAGGCCCCAAGTTTATTGAAAGACCATCTCAATAAAATAAAGTGGATAGCTGGCAAGATGGCTCAGCAGGTAAGGGCATTTACAACCAAGCCTGACACCTAAATTCAGTCCTCAGGACCCTCATGGTAAAAGCAGAGAATCAATTTCTGGAAGTTATCCACTGACCTCAACAGGTGCACTGAGGCATGCATGAGCCCATATACCTATCACACACACACACACACACACACACACACACACACACACACACACACACACAAAGTATTTGTTGATTTGCTTATTAAGAACAAGAGGCAAAGTCAGAGGAAGTAACTTCATCAAATTAAAAGCAAAATCACTTCTTGTTTTTGGATGATGATGATCATGATGATGGTACAATGCTGAGAACTGAACCTGGAGCCTCACACAAGCTAGGCAAGTATTGAACCACTTAGCTACCTTCCCAGACCTGGACAAGTCAAGTCACTTTTCATGGCATCTGCTAAAAACCAAGGGACCCCACCATGACTACCCAAGTATCTAGTAACCAAGATGGGTCAACAGCGAGAGCACAGATCTGAAACCCACCCACAGCCTTCAATTTAATTGTCCAAAAACACATTCCCCAATTAAATAGAAGCAACACAGCAAAATGCAAGCGGCCCTTCTGCTCCCAGATCTCACACTGACGTGACGAATTGAGGAGGAACACCGAATGTCTGTCTGCAACCTTCCTGTCTCCTCAGAACACCCCCTCTCTCCTTCCCGCCCCTGCTCTGCCACTTCCATGTGCTTTAATGCCACGGGGATTTCAAAGCCCAGCAGATTTGGACTTGTTCACGATGAGAAACAAAAAAGAGCTGAAAAGTTTGACGAATGATAAACTGCCCTCCGCACGCCGCAATATGCACAACTCTTCCTGCCTTTGTAGGAAACAAAAGACACAGCAGCTGAACAGGAAGGAAATAGGAAAGGAGGGAGGGCAAAGTGCTGTTCTAGCCAGGAAGTGGGGGCACAATGCAGCTGAAACAGTCATCCCTCGAGATAAAGAGTGAAATTCTGTCAATCCGAGAGATTGCTGAAACACACACAATTCTCATCTAACTAAGCAGCCCAGTGATTTGGAGGAAGGGGGTCATGAGATCTAGCCTGGAACCTAGATCTTCTCATTCCCCGCAGTCCATAACTCCCATGACCTTAGCTGACTTCTATCTCGTTAACATTGCTGAGCGGCCAGCCACAGTGAGACATGCCTGTAATCCAAGTGCCTGGAAGGTGGCAGGTGGAAGCAGGAGAATCCTGAGTTCAAGGCCATCCTTGGCTGTATAGCATGTCAGAGGCCAGCCTAAGCTATAAAACACCCCATTTCAAAAAGAGGGTTGAAGAGGATCAAACCGAGAGCCTCACACATGCTAAGCAAGTATTCAACCATTGAGCTACCTTCCCAGCCCTAGAAAAACCAAGTCACTTTTCATGGCATCTGCTAAAAACCAAGGGACTCCACCATGCCTACCCAAGTATCTAGTAACCAAGATGGGCCAACAGTAAGAGCACAGAGCTGATAAATAAATAATATAATACAATACAATGTAATGACTGAGAACCTTGGGCCTCTTTGGACTATGGTTTGAATACAGAAAACAGGAAAAAAGGGTCTAACCCCCAACTACATTTAAAATACCTGTTTTCTTGTCTCTCTCCTCCTGCTGTGTGCAGGATTATAGAGGACTGGGGTCTCAGCACAGTGTCCTGAGCCTAGCAAGTGTTCCCTACGTCTTTTGCCACATGGATGATTTGCTCCAACGTGATGCGACCTGATTTCTACTTACACTTATGAGACAGGAGCACGTCAAAGGAATCTGCCCACCTCGTCGCTTCTTCTGTGGAGAGTCTCCTAGGAAGCAAAGCATCTCTCTGAGGATTTCTGATACATCTCCTCTCCCCCAGCCACCACTCAGATTTGCCCAGAACTCTTTGGATTGGTGGAGAGCAGATACACACCATACCTGGGTCCCTACAGTTCTACTGCTGTCAGTTGGTAGATTTTTCAAATAATAGCTGGGGAAACCTCTAGGTAGGGGGTGGGGCTATAGCTTGGTGGCAAAGTGCTTACCTAGCACGAATGAGGTTCTGGGTTTTCTCCCCCAGTACCAGAAAGAAGAATCACCCTGGATGGGAATTCAGAGAATCCCATACATTACTTTTGATCTGAACAATAAAGATATGTAGCTATGTGATTTCGAGATGTCAACACGACAAGGTGAAGGGATGGGGCTAGTCTTGGAGACAAAAGAGGCTCAACTCACCTCTTACTGCCACCCCAGATTCTTCACCTCTTGGAATGGAGACAGGGATGCCCCTTTCAGAGGTGAGTGGGGTTGAAACAAGGTGGCATTTGTGACATCATTGAATCCAGTGTCTGCACAGAATAGGTGCTGAATCTGGATGATCTGAATCCCAGCATATTTTTAGAGTAACTTTGGATGTTTATTTCCAAAATGAGAGCTCAGATTGACAAGTCAGTAGAATAAAGAAGTGTACTTCCCACCCACGGCTTCAGACACTGATGGCGATACTGTTTCTTAGGGGATTGAGAGTTCCCGCCTGACGTCACCGAGCTCTGCCTTCCTGTCACTCACATGCAGGGGTAGGAAAGGAGCTGCCGAGAGACCAGATGTATCATCTTGTGGTTCATCTAGTCAACAACTCACTAAAGACAAAGGTCCCATAGACACCCCACAGTGTGGGTACCCAGGAACGCAAGGCGGCCATGCTACTCACTTGAGAGCACGGTTGGGTTTGTCGGGAAGAATGGCTGTGAAGTCACTACAGGAGTCCGATTTGTGCGACAGGCAGCCCAGTCGAGTCCTCATGCCTTTGTTCCTGCAGCAGACATGGAGGCAGAAGGAAGGGGGCTGTCACGACCACACCTGCCAGCTCTGTAAAGGACATCTGGACCTGCTGCCCTCCCCACCCCAGGTGGCCTCTGAAGAGTCCATCAGCCAGAATTGAGGCAAGGGCTGTGCTCATGCCTTGTCTCACTATAGGCATAGTAATAATAGGTGTGGGGCCTTTCCTCTGCCCTTCCCTTAGAGGCTGAAGGCTTTTTAAAGCTGACATGGCAAGTTGATGGTAAGTCAATGGAGGTCATTAGCTTGGGAGAATTTCTAAATTAGGAGTCTCTGTAGGGAGTGGAAACACAGTAGTGACAGAACAGCAATCCACATTTTGCTTTCCCAGTAGAAGGGCAAAGAGGCAGGGTTGGTGATGGCGGCAGCCCCAAACTACAAGGCCATGAAGGCAAGGCCCCCACACAGAGGAGAGGGGAGCCTCAAAAGGCAGGGATGCACAGCACAGCAGACAGAGTCAGAGCACACAGTGTGGGGCTTCAGCGCAGGTCAGTTCCCAATCAGCTTCTCTCAGCTCACCTCACCAAGACAGGCTATGTGTACAGGGATGGCTCTGGACCACAGGGATTGGTGCCTGCTGGTGAGAAGAGCGATGGGTGATGCCCACAGTGGAGAGCCGGTGTCCCCTGTGACCGTTTATGCCTGTTTAACTTGCCCTGTTTACCTTCAGCCAGGGGCTGGCATACTCCAGTCCTGTGGAGTATCTGTGTACATAGTTTTATAGGAACACCACACCGCCATTTGTTCACACATTGTCTAAAGATGCCTTCAACGTCAAGGGCAAAGTTAAGTAGTTGCAGCATTGACCACACAGCCTGGGAAGCTGAGAAGATTTACTCTCAGGCTCAGGACAACAGAAGTTGGCTAACCTTTGACCTTTAACCATGGCAATTCCTCATATTAAGGGCAAAAGTAAGTGTGTGTGTGGCGGGGGAGTAATAATCAGACCAGGACTTCAGTCTGGCTTACAAAAGGAACTACCATGTGCACCATGGGATATTGCCATGGAAATAGTCCTACAACATGCCATCCTCACATGCTGACAGCAAGTGCTCTGGCCTGGCTTTCCCTCTTTTTCACAAATCCTAAAACTAGATAAGGGAGTTAGAAGTCATCCAATTCAATCACGCCCATTGGTTTCAAATGGATTTCCACTCCCCAGCCTGTTCATTTTCTTTGTTCACAGAAATCTCATCTGACATTTGTCTACTGAGATGGTATTGTACTTGGCAGGGAGGGACATTTGTATTCCACAACACATCTCGGCAGAGCCCCTTAGAGCTGGAGCATCCAAGTTTCCAGAAATATCCTCTCCTCCAGGAAATCTCCTTGTCCCTACCTCTCTTCCCAGGCAGGCTGCACTGCGCATCCATCTATTTCATGGCATTTCAAAACAGTTGCTACAGTTAGTCTCTCTCCTGAAACAGAGAGCATCTTATGTGTCCATCCACTCTTACAGATCACAGGGTACCCGGCACGCAGCCATTCAAGCAGCTGATTAAAAGCCCTTTGAATCATCACTGCTGTGAATTCAGGCAAAGGTCCTGCTCAGGCTGTACCGTGGGTCAGGCCCCAACCTGCAGCCCACTCGGTGCCTTAGGATCATCCCTCATAAAAACAGTCAAATCATTGCCCTCAAGAGCCACAAACAGGACTCTCAGAAAGTGGCAAATCCACACACACTTTTGTACAACCAAGGTTTGGAGCAGGCTAGTTTAAAGGGTACTACTGATAGCCCTCAAGACAACTCTGGGCCATCCAAATAGTTCACAGAAGCAAATTTACTTTGGGACAAAATGGTTATTTATCTTTCTAGGCAAGACTTGAAGCATAATCTCCTAAGTTAAGTGGGAAATGATGGGAGCAGACACAGGAGTGAAAGACTAAGAGGAAGGAAGGAAAGGAGAGAGGGGAATGGCAGGAAGGAAGAAAGGAAGGAAGGAAGAAAGAAAGGAAGGAAGGAAGGAAGGAAGGAAGAAGAAAGAAAGAAAGAAAGAAGAAAGAAAGAAAGAAAGAAAGAAAGAAAGAAAGAAAGAAAGAAAGAAAGAAAGAAAGAAAGAAAGAAAGAAAGGGGAAAGGGGAAAGGGGAAAGGGGGAAAAAGGGAAGGATCTTTTCCCCATCTGCCTTTTCTCTATAAACCCCTGTCCCAGTAACCCAGAGTTCCACATAAGTTCATGCACAGCCCCTTATCCTATCCCAAAAGTCACCACCAAGAGATTCTACCAAGTCAACAAGAGGGCACGGAGCTAAGGCAGGCAGGTCCTACTTGCAAGGCTGTAACTTTGCAAGAAGCACAAAGGTAAGACTAGTGCCGTGCACACCAGGAGGTCCAGCAGAGCTAGTGCAAGAGGATCGGCCACCAAGAGCTTCACAGCTGGGCCAGGCTCAAACAGCAGGACAGGTGAGAGACCAGAAGTGAGCAAAGAAGAGGAGCAGGGACAAGAAGACAGGTCATCAATCCGTTACCTGCGTGGCATCAGTAAGGCAGCCATACAGGCATCCGCTTATGGTTACCCCCTTGGGCTGGCTTGCAGGGACGTCAGGGCAGGAAATAAGAGTGCGGGGTTCAAGGATTTACCCTCTCACGTCCTCTCACCTAAAATCAAAGAGTCTGCTGTAAGAGGGTTCACCCTCTCACATCTGTCTGCAAGATTCACCACCATTCCAAGGGCTCTCCACCATCGCAGTACTTCCCCCACAGCACCCACAAATGTCAGTGTGTTCTTAGCAAGGGTAGCCAATCAAAGACGGACAGGGACAAATGTCAGGAGGCTTGGCATTGCTGACTGTTGGTCAGATGTCCCTACTTCCCCAACCACTGGCCATCAAAATTGGGACATGCACCCTTAGGGAGGCATGGGCCTGGCAAGCCAAAAATTACTGTTCTCTTTATCTTACTAGACTGATGCCCAAGTGACCAGTCCAGAAGGGACCAGGGAGAAGAGGCGCTTGCTCCAAAATAATCTGATTGGATGCCGCTCTGGTTCCCACCTCTCTCCAAGGGCACCTGCCCCAGGTGGAAATGAGCCAGGGCTTGAGAAAAAGGGAGCAAGGAGGGGGGCTGAACGGACTTGGAGGTAAGCCACCAGACACCCTCACCACTGGGCATGTTCCTTGGCGGGGATCCCAAACACAGGCTGCAGAAATGAACATGCAAGTCACTCTCTCTAGCTCATAAGGAGGTGAGCCTTCCTCAGTCGGGCCCATTCAATACAGGGAAGACTTGGGGATGGAGGAAGGGGATATGGAGGCTGAAGGCTGATTGGCTTGTAGCCTCTCCTTCCCATGGGTACCATTGGCAATGTTTCAGACCATTGTTCCCACAAAAAGAAAGCTGATAGGGAGAGCTGCCTACCTATCCATAAAAGGTTCCCTTGGGGATCCCTGCCACCAAACGTAGAATCCATTTTAAAAGAAACCTAATTTAGACAGATAAGAATCCTGTGTGGCTGTGCCATTTAAATTGTTTTGGTATTTATTACCTTGAACATTTCACAAATACTTTTTTTTAATCACTTTCAGAATAATTCTATTAACAAAATAGAAGGATGACTTTATTAACACTGAAAAGAAAACAGAAAACAGAAAAAAAAAAAACAGGTTTTATGTAAAGGCTCATCCCAGTGGGTCATGTTTCCTGACAACAGGGGACATTTCCTTAACCACTAAGTGGGAGTGCACCTGCTTTCCAGAAGTCAGCCGGTAAGGCCTTTACAACTCTAAGGGTCTCCAGAAAGCATGTCTGGGCACCTACGCCTCATTTCCTCTTGCTTATAAAAATCTGTCCCCAGGGTAGGGGCCTTTATTATTCTGCAGCTGAGCAGGGCAGAGATTACTGCCCACATACACCACAGGCAAGGTCGTTTAGGGCAGGGGACCCCTGGGCTCTGTCCCTGCCTGCCACTGTTCCTTCTCTCTCCTGCTGCCAGCCCACACTGGCTTGCTGGTGCTACCCAGTTGTCTCCTCTCTCTCTCTCTCTCCCCCGACATCCAGCGCCTCCAAAATCACCCTTGGAGTGAGGTTAGCTTTGGAGTCCCTAAATGAGAAGCAGCCGGATACTCTGCCCCAGCTGCCTTGTCCACACCAGGATGCAGAACCCTCGGGGCTTGTGTCCCATTTAGCTCTAGACAGACTTATAAGGGACAGATAAGGGGTTACCCAGAGCCTGGAAAGTTCAAATATGTGACCCGACCCCCCCCCCCCAACACACACACACAGTACCCTCGGAAGTGGGCACCAAGTCACAAGTGACTGGAGCAGACAGAATAGAAAAAGGTGACATTCAAGGTGCGGGGGGTAGGGGGGAGCATAAGAGCAAAAAAGAAAAGATTTATAAGGAAAAGAAGAGAAATTAAGCTCAGCGGGGAGAAAGCAATCAATATGCATGAAGAGGCATGTTAATTAAATATGTATAATGCAACCAGCTTTCCCACACCCCAGCAAGGAAGAAGAAAGGCAAAGCCAATACTTACTGTCGTTGACCGGTCCTCATGGCCTGCGGGTCTTTGCCAAGTGGATGGTCAGAGAGGCTGAGGGCTAAGGAGCTCTAAGGAAAGAGTAGATCTTTCTTTTAGCAGTGAGATCCTTGGCAGGTGAAAGGCATGTTTGCAGGGACACACAGGCTCACGCATGCATACACATATACATAAGCATGCATGCACAACACACCTCCCACCACTTGAGCCAGGCAGCAAGCAGCCCCAAAAGCTCTTCTCTCCGCTTGTCACATCCAGTAAATACTGAAGCAGCCTACACCCAGCAGGCGGCGGCTCAGCTCCCGGGCACAGTCTGCACGCCCATCCTCATTGGCAGGACGCAGGAGATGCCCCCAAGCAGAGCTGACCTGGCCCGCATCCGGTACCTTCCTCCTTCGGCCTCACTAACCTGCAGCTCCTTTGGCTGCAGCTCAGGGAGAAGTCTCTCCCCAGCCCACAGCAGCTGCTCTGCCCCCCAGCCAAGAGTAGGTATTAACTCTTTTCAGGCCACCAAGTAGCTGGAAATCCAGGGAAGGGTGCTTTTCTTAATGAGCTCTGCTGCTGGCTGGGAGGCTGGAGGCTGGAGGCTGGTGGCTGCTCTGGGGCACAGGGAGCATAAAGATCTTGCCCCAGACAGCTGCTGACAGCAGGAGCCAAGCCGAATCAAATCTCCTAATGAGCCAGGAGGAGGGGGCCTGTCTTGCTGGGTGTGATGTGATGTGATAAATGCAGAGAGCGAGAAAGCTACGGGGCAGGTCGCACATCTAAATTCCACCCCCTTTCTCCCAATTCTATTGCACTGCGCTCCCAAGCCAAACCACACAGCCCTGAAATTACCCCTTTCTGCCAAGTCTCAGCTGTCCCCTTACTCAACAGAGGAACCTCTCTCCCCTAGCCCATTTCTACCCCTACCCTCACCCCACCAGGATCAACCACACCGCTCCCCACTCCTTAATGAGAAATTCCCACCTCCTCTGCCTCCTGGAACGTGCAGATTTCCAACCCCATGCTCCTGCCTCTCACCTGGTTTTTCCTACAGTAGCAACTCACCTCTCTTTCCTCATCCATCACCTAGCAACTCCCCCCCCCCGACTTGCATTTGTGATGGAGTGAGACTTTTTCCTTTGTTCTGCCCGATCTGCTCATCATCTCTCTGTTTCTATCTTTTCCCCCCTCAATATTATTTCCAAACCTCTATACCCACATAGATCTTCACACTGTCTGCTTCTGTTCCAGAAGGGAGATTCTTCCTGTTTGTCCTAGTTCTCTGAAAGTGGTACCCAGACTGGCAGTCTGAGCATCACCTGGGAATGTGATGGGCATGCCACTGCTCAGGCCCCCTGCAGAGACCTTTGGTGGCAGAAACTGGGAGTGGGACCCAGCGTGCCTGGAGATTCTAATACATGCTAAAGTTTGCAATTCCTTTGGGATAAAGCTTGCCTTCTCTTCTTCGTTACACTCTCAGTCTCTATGGCTGTTCCCATGTCTGTTCAGGAACCAGCTTCAAATACACCTGGCCTTGTGGCAAGTTATTTCTCAAGCCAGAAGTTAGAAGATGTTTCTAAGGAAAGTAGAGGCTTTGTAATACAGGTAATTGATTCCATTTATTTGACTTGGTGTTGCTCAATATTGGGGATTGAACCAAGGGCCTTACATATGCTAGGCCACTAAGCTGTATTCCCAGCCTCTCTTCTTCTTTTTTTTTTTATTTCAGACAGGATCTCCTTAAGTTGCCTAGGCTGGCTTTAAACTCACTCTGTAGCCCAAGCGGGCTTTGAAACTTCTATCCTTCTGTCTTAGCCTCCTGAATAGCTAGCTATCAGGCCCAGCTTATTTAGCATTTATTAAATGTTTAAAGCAAAACTAGGCTGGTGGTACAGCACCCACAAGGTTGAGGCCATAGGATCAGGAGTTCAAGGGCAGCCTGAGCTTCCTCCACCTTCACAAACCAAGTATAAAACATTTTCATGTATTGTCATTCAACAATTCCACATAATACAGTCAGGAAGCTTACTATCCCCATGCTACAGATGAGGACGCTGAGGCTAGATGTGATAAAATTTCCTTTTTTTAATGATACAATACACAATGGCAACACGAGAACCAACATATGTGTCTCATGACTCTGACAGGGGAGCTTTTGCTCCTATGTCATGCTGGGACACGGTCTCTCTGAGCACAGCTATTGGTGCATGACCCACGTTCTGACAGTGACATTAATGTGATCTAATCATTCATTGCCTGGTGCCAGGATGAAGTAGAAATCCTGATGCTGCCCCCACAGTGACTCACTCTCTCTCTCTCTCTCTCTCTCTAGTAATGTCCATAGCATCCCTCTGTTAGGCAAAGGTGCCTTCATGTTACCAAGTGAGATGTCTTGAAACATGATGCTAGCTAAAATTCAGAGTTAAACTGAAAGAGAATTTTTCCCTTTCTAGATCCTTTCCTGGTATTTTGTAGCATAAGAAAAAAAATCCCTGGATAAATACTGTTCTCATCCAAGATATGTCTACACCTTGAGAGGGGTGGTCCACAGAGCTAACGTTTAAGGATCGTTTTGTATGTGCTAGACACTGTCCCCAGCATCTCACCTGAGTTCATTTAATTCTCACAAAAAATTTACAAAGCCAACATTTACATCAGCCCCTTCCTTAGGTGCAAAAAGAGAGACCGGTCATTTACAAATAGCAGAGCTGGTGTCTGGCCCCTAATGTGGTGCTGACACGCCCCTCCCTCTTACCCAGAGGTGATGTCATTAGCAGACTCTTCTCCACCAGGGCTAATATGGGGCACAGGTTTTCTCAGAGTTTTGTGTTGTTTGATGCACAGGAAGGAAAGGCACTAGGGAATGGGTGTGAGGCTGCAGATGGGCCTGAGTCTGGGGCAGGAGCTGATTAATACTAACCATACATCGGAGTCTTCAATTAGCCTAGTCTCGAGAAGGCAATAAGTCAAATGTTTCGGGAAAGATGCCGTAATTAATAAAGTTCTAAAGGAAAAGGTGAAAATGGAAAGAACAGACAGGAGTGGAGAACATTGGGAAAAGAAGACAGCCAAACCTGGCCCAAAAGTTTCTACCCACACACTCCTAGGCACTAGTGTGGAACCATAGAATGCCAATCTGTGCAAACCTGATACAATCCTGTCTATGGGACGACTCCCCCATAAGCTTCCAGAGACAGATGTGGGAAGAATTCCAGAGGGAAATGGGGTGTCATTTCAACACCGGGGAAACTGAGACAGAAGAGCCACATTTGAGGTCAGTCTGAGATATAGAGGAAGACCCTGTCTAAAGACAACAACAACAAGAAAATCTCCAAGCTAAACATTAAGCTGGCTCCAAAGTCAAGCATTCTACCATGGGTTTCTTTCCTGGATGAATGATTCAGGAAAGGACAAGAGCTGTATAGTTCTAGGATGCCAGAATTCACCCACTTGGACTCTGATTCCCCCAGGGTTAGAGCTGTGACTGGTAACGTCAAGCTTTTGTGGCTACTGCTCCTGACTCCCTAGCTGAAAACTGGCCCCAGCTTCTGTTTTTCTCATGGAAAGCTGTGATGACCAGCCCTGATTTGGCTGTGTAAGTGACCCAGCAACCCCTCTGCTCTTTCCATTTTAAAGCAATCACCTTGGGAACCATCTTCCCAAGCTCAGACCAGTCCACACCTCTCTGAAATTAGAGCTGTACCAATGGGGCTCTGCTGGACAGCTCCAGGCACCGCAAGGCCCACAGACTCCAGGTATCCCCAGCAACCTTGCTCTCAGCCCTGCCTGCCTCCTTCCCCGCAGGGCTCCCTCTGTTTGCTCGTGACATCACTGCATCCTTATCCCTGGGGTAACAAGTGCAGATATTTCTGGCATCTTCTTCATTCCTCTTGCTAAATTGGTATTCCAATCTGATCATTGTGTTTCTGAATTATTCCTTAGCTCCATTCCCCTCCCATCCATTGGCACAGGGTTATTCAGCTCCCCGAGCAGGTCTCCCTGCCCCACTCCTCCCCCACCCACCACCACCCACAAACCTCAGTTACCCACGGCACAGACGCCCTAAGCAGATCATCTGTATAATAATCTTTGATGGGCTCCATTGCGGCTCCTCTATTTGCCTGACAATAAGCTGGTCCTGCTTCTCGGTCTGGTTTTATTGCTCTCTCAAATACATACATACACGCCCATGCACCTGCTCCCTCCGTTCAGAGAGTCCTACCCTGTTTCTGCCTCTTAACTCCCAGCTCCTTGGCCAATCCCTTTACCTCTGAGCTAAAAGCTCTCCTTCTGAGCTCTTTCAGAATGACTTCAATTAGAGGAGCCGCTCTATCCCAATCCCACCACCTTGCTGTGTGATTTTGACAGCCTGAACCACGGTCTAGTTTCATTTGTAGTTTTCAATCCTCCCAAATTGATTTCCACTCCAGAAAGACAGCCTCTATGACTGACTCCCTTTGCAACTCTCATTGCTTCATGTGGAGTAGGTGTTTAATACTCTGGCTAACTCTGAGTTATGAGTTCTTTTAAATAGTTTAGTTTTATTTACTTATTTTGGGGGAAGGTGGTAAAGAAAAAGAAAAAGAAAAATCACCAAGCCTTCCTTATGGCCGAAATGTGTTAAGACATCTGCAGTCTCCTGGCCAGGATGGAAGTCCGGAGAATGCTAACAGCTTTAGGGGACAGTAGCAAGAGGTACAGAGGGCTTTTATAAACGATCCCAACAGCCCGATCTGTGCAGGGTAGAATTAATCAGGAACAAAGGGGGCACCTGGCATTGCCACACAGGCTCGAGAATATAATTAAATTGAAGATAAAAGGAATTAAAATCTGCACTATAATATTTTAAAAAGCCATGATAGAAGAGGTTTATTGCCAAATGCCTCCTGTGTATTTATTTAATCAACATACCACCTAGGATAGCACCACATTCAGAGCTCTTAATAAAAGTCATTTGGATATCAGATTTGAATTCTGGTCAGCATGCTCAAGCTCTTTCACAAATCTTTTAAAAGCAATTTCCACTGCTCGGCTTCCCGGTAACAGTAGAAACCTGAATCAACATATGCTGCATTGATTTGGGGTTTCCATGGAGACTGGAAGGACACAGGGAAGGGCAGGACAGTAAGAGGACACCTGACCCAAAATTCTACTCTAAAACAACAAAAACATGCATCTCATGCTCATTCTTCTGAGCATAATCAGCCCCCTTTCCTGTCCATCAGTTCAGGCATCCAGATACTTAATTTGTAATAACCTTCCTGGGTTCCCATAAGGGACATCATGGGGTCAGGGAGAAGGGTCAGCAGCTAACGCTAAGAACCCAGCGGGCTTGCAGGAAAGTACGGAAGGACAGAACAAAGGGCCGCTGGACATCATTCCTGTTAACTAGCTCTGCAGCACTAACAACCTGCCCTGGCTCCGTGATCACCAACCCACAAGACCAAGAACCCGTGAACTCTAACTTCCTCTCTGAGCCAGGCTTGGTGGCACTTACCCATAAGACCAGCCCTTGGGAAGGGGAGACAAGAGAACCAGGAGCTAAAAGACATCTTTGTCTCAATACTCCTCACACTCCCCAAAATTCTCTTTGTAAAACTCAAATAAACACACCTGCCCTGTCCATTTTCCAGGGTGCATATAAAAAATAAGTGAAAAAGTCTGCAGGTGCTTTGTGAGTTCCAGCATATGATCTTCTGTTATTATATTTGGGGGTGACTGTGGCTTCCTTTTAAATAGAATTTTGCCAGTGAGCAAGTATAT